TCCCCCAACCCCCCCCCAAAACCCCGTACCCACAGTCTCCCACAGTTCTTCACCCACTCCAGAGGCAGCAGCCCCACCGTGGGAAGCAATCTCTCACCTCACAACTGGGGAAACTGAGGCAGGGAGGGTGGGAATGTGTATTGCACACACTCCCGTGTGAGAACTGAGGGTTTTCCCCTTCCCAGGCCCTCACCGTTCCCTTTCTCACCCCCGTCTGCAAGCAGAGGGCCTGGTGCCACAATAGCAGTGCTACAGAGGAAGAGAGGGAGATAATTATCCCTCTGTCCTTTCCTCTTCTGCCAAAAATCACCCACGGGAGGAGCCGGCTGAAAGATGCATGAAAGGTTGTCAGGGCTGGAGCAGCTTTGCTCCAGGTTGAAAACCCCAAGTCTGCTCGGAGCCGCTTGAAATGTGCTGCTGAAGCAGGACACAAGGTGGAAGCAGACACCTGGAGTCTGCCAGCAGAAAGGATGTCTCAAACCTGGCCACAGGGCTCCTCTGGTGTCACGCTGGGACAGGCAGGCCAGCCCCAGGGTGGCTCTGCTGAGGCTCTGGCTGGGACCTGCGGGTCAGGGGCTCTGGCAGAGCCTGGATCAAGGGGTCTGCCAGTGTTTCCCCGGGACCTGAGGCACCTCTTGGGCAGACCCAGACCACGTCCGGACCGCTGCCCGTACCGCAGGTTGGGAAAGCAGCCTAGATTCTCGATCTTCTCAATTTGGTTCTGAAAAAAGGAAAAAAAAGCAACATGTTTTTCTGCTGCATGAAAAATCAGACTCCAGGAGCACTGGAATCACTCCAACCTCACACAGGCAACATGATGTCCCACCACTGCCACAGGAGCTTTATGAAGAGGGTATGGGGCTGTGACAGCACAGGGAGCCCAGGAGTTCGTGAGAACCGTAAGGCAAGTTTAACCCATGGGTGAAACCCCATGCAGGTTTCAAAAACACCGAATGGCTGATGCCAGACCCTTGCTCAAATCCCATCGGTGACACTGCCATTGGAAGGGAGTGCTGCCAGCCCCTCTGGCCATGCAGGGAGGCAAAACTCTGGAGGAGAACTGGAGGTGTTTGTGGTCCCCACGAGGAGGCCTTTACCTGCAGGGCCGGGGCTCCAATCTCTGCTGCCCCGTGCCTGCCGCAGTGCCTTACCTGCTGCAGGTAGAGACTGTGAATCTCCCGCAGGCTCTGGAGCCTCCCGATAGTGCAGATGTTCTCCCGGTCCAACCGGATGGTTGAGGGGGACAGCAGTTCTGTGGATCTAGAGGAAAGGGGGTGCTTGGGGTGTCCTTTGTGCCCAGACACCCTCCCTGCCAGCCTGGGTGGTGTAAGTGGGCTCCGTGTGGATCCTCACCGGCTCTCTGGGTGCAGGGGCTCCACCAGCTGAGGCAGGTTCCTTGTGGCAATGAGATTCTCGGTGAGGGTCACCCCTGGGGACGTCTGATCACAGTCTGTGGGAAACCCAGGGCGATGGGGCACAGGCCAGCGGCATCCAGCCCCCCCGTACCCCTCCAGGCTGGCACATGAGCAGGCTCCACAATGGTTCACTCACCCTCAAGCTGGGTGTCCCCCTGCCCAGCCATGGCAGGGAGGTGGCCTGGGCCCTTGTCCCTTCCGTGGGCCCTTAGGTCGGTGTGTTGGTGCGGCTGGTCTGGCCCCACTGCTCTCTGCAAGGGGAAGGGAGCAGAGGCAATGGGGGGCAGAAACCTGCGGGCTGGG